ATTCAAGGCACCACCGGCATAGATGAAAAAAAATCTATCAGTTTACTATGAATTCTCCATTTTTGATAAAAGCGCTTGTTTTTGTTACAGATACACTAATGGCATTTTGCTTTATCTTTGCTTACTGATTTCCAATGTCTCCTTTTTTATAAATATAAAGCAATTAAGCTGAGTTTTGGTGTTATATACAAAAAGTAATTATTTATTTCAAATAGCAAGCGTTTTGAAAGTTATCATTAGACCTTTAGTTGACTTCGGGTTTCACAGAGGGGAAGGAACATCAAAGTTCAAGAGGGTGAACCGAAGAGTGATTTGCAGATGTAAAAGAGACAGACACAATGATAATGAGTAGGGTAAGGTGAATACTGTAGAAGTAGTCGAATGTGGCATATAGTGGGGTCATAGTAGTTTGAATTCAGAAGTCAACTACCGGTCAATAGACTTGTTTGCCGTATGAGTATACGTTGCCCAGGGTGGACCACGTGAAGGTATGTCTATCGCACACTCCCATACAAATATTATCATGTAATAGTTTGTAAGGTTGCAATTTCATAACTATAGAAAAGAAAGTTTTTAGGAAACCTTCCTGTTTCTATGAGACATCAATTGATGCATATTAAATTTGTTGACTTTAAATTTGATTTGAAATTGCGATGTTGTTGATAGGACGGAAAAAATGCCCACAAATTATTTGTTACGCAATATGGCTATGGTAAATGAGACCCAGGGGAAGAGAGTAAACATCTTTAGTTCACTTTAATGTGATTATCTCGGTTTATATTCAACATAGAAAAGGTGTACTGCCATCAACATCGAAATCACTTCACTAGGCAACATGCCAGCCTTATGAATGCTTAATTCCAAATTAAATTTAAAAAAGTTTTCTCATCTATCGCTGACGGGGTGGGCGATAGACTTACCTCCACGTGGTGCACCCTGGGCAACGTATACTCATACGGCAAACAAGTCTATTAACCGGCATGTCATATTTCACAGTACTCACCTTACCTTTTTTCTACCTTTGTTTCTCTCTGTCACGTTAACAACTGTAAATCACTATTCTGTTTCCCTCCTCTCGAATTTTTCTCTCTTTGAGTTTCCTCCCCTCTGTGAAGCCTGAAGTCAGCTAAGGGGATAATGATAACTATCAAAACGCCTGCCATTTGAAATAAATAAATAGCCAGACAATCCACAATTCATGCTATGCGCCAACATCTCCTTCATTCCTATCAGTGTGCTGCCGCGTATGCCCAAAAACGTTCCAAAAGTCGGTACGTGCACACCGCCATGGAAACAATGCCAAACACGTGTGCATGCCTCTGCTACACAACAAATGCCGCAGATGGCGTCGCCAAAAAAGGAGTCAGAACTATAAAAGCACATCAAGGGAGTAATTTGGTAAAAAAAGTCCTGTGAAGAAAAGTGGGTGCTTAACTGAGTTTTGTCTAGACCCAACTTCCTGCAATTTGATGTGATAAAAGAAACAGCTCAAAATACCTATCAAGATTAAACTTCAACAAAAATATTGGACCAAAATTTGGCAAATAGAGCCTTAAACTACGCCACTTCAAGTCACTTAAACGAAGAGAGACCTTAAATTTAAAGAAAAAACAACACGCACTTATCGGCAAAATATATATATTATATACATTTCAATAATAAGCGGAATATGAGAAAATAAATAGTCATATATACATATACATACACAACAAAGTAATCCGTGTTAATACTACTTTAGAGTTGAGATGAAGAAGGTGGAAGTTCCCAGGTTATTGGCAATTTAGAGGGCGGATGTCGATCACGTGAAGCCTCCATTGAGCTCGCCGATACCATAAATTTGTCCCAATTAGACCTAATACAGAGAACGATATTGAAATTGAATAAAATTAAAACTACAGTGAACACATACTGACCCCTACCTACGCGGCTTCTCTTTATCAGGGAGAAAAAGGAATGTGGAATCTACCAACCACTGCATTGTGTCTCAATAGGCCTCCTTCATCACAAACTGAGTTCCCCTCGCTCAGTTCTCAAACTTATTGCTTCCCGATGTCCAATTCTAACCACTCCTTCTTTTCCTTTTCATTCATTTCCGTCTGTCACCTAAGCACTAAGTCTTACTTAGCTGATTTAGGGAAGACGAACTCGTTTTGTAAGTTCATTTATTAAGCCTGAATGAGTCATTTGTTTAGATATTAGGGTTAGATCTACTTTCATGCACACATTTTAGTGAAAATAAAAATTTTACTAGTAAAACGGTTATAGTAATTGCAGTATTATCTCAAGGAGCACTGGAAAGTATATGCCATGTTAACTGGCCCTTGCATTTTCACTCACGTCAAAGTTAACTCAAATAAAACGTAGTTTTATGCAACCTTTCAATTTAAGGGAATAATGCTGTATTTTTAACCGAACACACAAAACTTGCGAATAAAACCGGGGGAAAAATCAGTTGAATTGCAAATTGTTGAGATTTTGAGTTTTAGCTTCAAGACCGTATGATCGCTAGTAGCCATACTCATAACTGCTCATAATTGTTGGAGGTGATCGTGGCAGTAGTGATTCAGCGATGAGAAGTGACAAAACAGGAGAACTGCATTAGTGGATGGAGAAACAATGTCGGGAATGGGAATAAGGGCCTACGGTGCAACTGCTGTTCATTCCTTCCAGTTTGCGAAAAGAACTCCTCTCTTTAGGAAAACAAATTGTTTATCGCCTTTGCGCAGCTCTTAATAACACTTATGTCTAGACTATAGAGCTAGTAAAACTAGTGTGCATATGCACATGTTAACAAGCTCAATAACACCTAAGACTTCAAACTTGAATTTTTCACACACATTGTTCGCATACGACTGACTGTAATTAAGCAACTACCAAGAAACCCAGAAAGGTAATTCACTTTTGCATCGCTATCGAGACGCATCACTGATAATGAGGCTAATTGAATCGGAAAAATTACAGCTGTACTCCAAGAAAAAAACATGAGATTAAAATCACGCGCCTAAATCCTTTAATTTCTCACACTGCATTTTCTAAGACAGACGAGCATAAGCGTGCCGACAATACCTATTATTTAGAACTCAACAACTTAGCTATGGAACAAACGCTGTAACATTCCTATATCAGCAACCAACCGCCAACAGCAACCTTGGTGAGAGATCTCAGCTACCATTTCAAGACCGACTTTGAGGCTAGGAATGGCCCTAAAAATCTGGATTCAAGAATGCAAGTGGCAGTTCATTTCAACGCTTTTAGAATAGAGTAATTGGGAATTGCTACGGTATCATAGTCCAGACTACTACAATGACCTAGTAAGTCCTTTGAGTTTAATTATGAGATGAGAGTTTTACAACGGTAGTTACATCCAGCTCTCCACTACGCATGAGTCATCATTCACTTTGGATTGCCCTTAAATGCACTGGCCAAAATCACAGGCTAGATACATGTTGAAGTACATGACACGGCTCAAGGACAAAATCAACACCAAAGAAGAGGGCAGAAGTAATACGTATAGGGAGGGGGTCATGTATATGAAGAACTTAAGGGAATCGAAGAAAAAGTGGGATGCCACGATACACGAACACCAAATCACATCATGCAAGAAACAGCTCACGGAGCAAGAAGCGGCGAGCGTATATTGAGTCTAGGATATTGGGCTTCATCTTGAATTCTGAAGGTGCTGAGTTCATCAGGACCTAATAAAGGGACTAATTCATATTGCACTATTCAAAGGTCAGTAAACTTTTCTTGACCCTCAAATTTAGATTAAGCTTCATACTGGATGATGATGCCATGTGGTTTCATCCCCATCTACTTACAATCATAGGACCAGGGGAGACTGTTTAAATGTAACTCCCAATTTGAGCTAGTCTCAGGGATAGTTTGACCTCCCATCGGTGACCTCAAATAAAATTAGTTTGGCAAGAGGAATGGAGAGAAATGGCTACAGTATTCGAATTGTCACTCATTTCATGAAGTCGATTACCTAATTTGTTCAGAACCTCAGCCCAGAGTTCACTGAATTCCGCTGTATCCTTTTTTATTAATTTGTCTTGAACATAAAACTCACTCGAATTGAGGTCCATTCTATAATAATATGGCTCTATTCAAGCAAAATTTCTCGCTCTCGTTATTCGGATCTGTAATAGCCATTTTACTATCTACATTGGAGAAAGATTAGTATTGATAATACACCAGCCCCAATAAAATTTCGCGTGTGACTCATAGTCTCCGTAAATGCACACGAATAACTGAGAAACGGTCTATTTAAAGTAAACGTGACATAAAAAATAGATACTACTAAGCTCACCTAATTCGAACGAAATCTGAGAAGTTTCGATTACACTGGCTGTAGAATCCATTCCACCTTGTACTTTCTCCTAAAAGGGAAAAGGAAATAAAACTCTACTTTCATTGGTAAGTACAACTTATAAAGTCCACCTTACTCACCAACATCGAAAGATCCAAAAAGTGCATATTTAACACTGGGTGGTAGTTTATTGGGGATAATATCATCACCATTGACAAAATCAGAAGTACCCCCCATCGACAGGTTAGCCGATTTACTTTGAGTATCCTTTAGCCGCATTGTTAATTTATTGATCACTAATTGAGTGGACTCAAGTTGACTCAGAATAAACGACATTTTGTCTGAGAATTCACAGCTGATTCCTTCGGGTATTGGCCTGCCCTGACCTTGAAATTGCCCTATCCGAGCGCTTCGAAGTTGATCCAACTTTTTGAGAATCCTCAGCAAATCCTGGCAAAATTTAGAAGCTTTCCGAAGATCTTCCAAGTCTTTTTCGGAAATTAATTCATCTTCAGAGGATTGCACAATTTCTTGTGGTCTAAAACAAACAGTGTTTTGCAAGCCAATCTACTTATTAAATATAAGTACAAAAAATATGGAGGTTACTCAGAAGGATGGCATTCAGCTCTAGGAGACGATTCATTAGGATTGAGACGAGAGAGTACTTCGCCGACACCTAAGAGCAACACCGTTGGAGAGTCACTCCGCTAAAATAACATAGGTTAATACTGTTCGATATAATTACAGATCGATTGCGACGACTACAACGCTCAATTTTGCGTCTCATGATTTGTAATAACTCCGGATCCGTGCATTGCTGTTTTAATGATTCGAGTTCACCCTAAAATCAATCATACCATGAGTAGGAATCGATTTCAGATATTACAACGAAGGAGTGATTCCTTGGATTTTCAAGTAAAACCTTATATCTAGAAAGCATCTTCTTAAAATCGAGTAAGGACATCCGTCTTTTGGAGTTTAGTAAATTCCGTCTCTCGTGCAACGTAGGAAGGACTTCACTTTCCCAAAACGAAATAATCGATTCAAATGGGTCAGATAGTTGAGGTGTTGGTAAAAGTGCACCGATCCTAGGTGGGTAGGGCAATAGTGGAGGCCTATTGAAAAGAACTTGATTCGGTGAGGGAAAACGGAAAGGATTCATGTTGCTAAAAACAAGTAAAAATGTAAATAGAATACGACTTGAATATAAGGTCTCAGCAAAGTACAATCCCTTAAGCAAGATAAAAAATAATATTAGCATAATACCAGTATTTTTTATTGATTACAAACAGTCATACGAATGTCAGTTGAAACGTTGTCATATAAACATAAAACATAAGATAGGCTTCCTTTCCACCATACAACGTTGAGAAAGAATAGCAAATGGATTCGTTGAACAAACTTATGTCCAGTAAATCCATGTTTTAGAATCTTTATGTTTGTGACTAAGCGTATCACAAGATATCAGCTAAAAGAGTAAGAGGAAAGATACAAGGTGAAGAAATGCGGAAATCGCACAAATGGAGGAAAGACCTGTTGCCATCTACTCCCAGAGAACAGCAAAATTTCCTGAGTAAGCGGTGATTATGGGACCACCCGCGGTAAATAATCGAATGCCACTGGGATCGTACTCATGAGTATAGATAGCGTGGTATGACCTCGGTGGTGGTGGAGATCTATAAAAATTTGCATCCGAAAAAATCGCATCGCTCGGTGATGATGAAAATGAAGGATCCTCTAGTATTTCGAGGAACCTTTCTGATTCAATAAAGTCATCCAAATCATTAGAAACTTCTATAGTTGGACTGGTAGAATGGAGATTACGTACAGTAATTCGAACAGGATTATTGACTGGTCCTGTTCGATTAGTAGTGGCCATTAGAGTTTGTTCTCTAACTGTTTGAGGAGCGGGAAGAGATTCGATAAAATTAAGTAAATTTAAGTCCTCCACATTCCACCGTGCAGTGTAGGCTGAAGACCTAGACGAGGATCTTGTATAACCTCTCCGTATCCGAACAGCCGAAGACGCCAAATCTGGTATATCACCGTTAGATTGAACCGAGTTGTTATTGTTACTGTTAGTGGAATTGATGACATGTTTTGTAACATTTGCGCAGTCAAAGTGGGTAGGAAGATGCTTGTCAGCAACAAGATCGAAAAAATGCACATTTCCTGTCGAGGTTCCATAAGAAAGAATATTGCCAGAATAATTAAGGGAGCGGACACAGCCATTGGAAGCGTTAAAATATTCGGGTGGTTGAATGCAATTGGGAGTTAGTCTGCGAGTAGGATATCTAGTACGAACATCAAATATCAGTACAGAACGACGTGTCGCCATGGTGAATACATGTGGATTACAGGGCCATCTACGCATAGAAACACCCTCCTATGGTGCAATAAAACAATATAGATAATACGCAAATAAATATACACATTTGTTCAGCAAACAGAAACTTACGACATCCGAAGACATAATAGACATCTCAAGGAATGGCTCAAGATCAATAGATATTGAGGATTGAAGAGATGTTAAATTATACATGTATAATTTATGCGTCATAGAGACAACAGCCATGCAGTCTTGCGTGGGAAGGTGTTCAATAGCCCTAAACTTATCTGGCCCTGTGCGAAACGTAGACCCGCTAGGTTCACTCAAGGATGGATAGGTGGGAAATCGAATGGGATTAGTTATGGAGGATCCTGGGTCATGATTTATTACCGGAGAGGAATTCGCATCATCTACCGGTATCTTCCATAGTGCTAACCGGGCTTCTCGAGAGCATGCAGCTAAAACATCATCCTCAATAAATCGTAGATCAAAAATACATTCCCAGTGATGTTTCTAAAAAACGAAAAAATGTTACGCATAAAGAGGCATCCGAGTATTCAATTATAAAATCTCACTTAAGAATTGAAAGCATACCTGTAGCAAGCACATAGGCATGAGAGAAGGAATACCATAGACGCCGATGTCATTAACATGATCGCCACCCGTTGCAAAAATTGTATCACTCTGGTTCTTCTGGATAGCATGAATTCCACACTGGCAAGAATCATTTCCCGACTGATTTCTATTTAACAACAACGAAAGCGATTAACAATGATAAAAGCTTAGCAATGAATATTTTACGAATTTTCAATTACCTTCCCTGCCTCTTCAACAAAGGAATTTCAACAATATTATTTGTCTTGATATTAAGAAGACTAAGGTTATTGCACTTAGAACCGATTAAAATCTCATCGTGAGTGAGCCACTGACTAGCAAAAATTTTGTCACGATTTTTAATCGGGATTTCTCTGCCTCTTAAATAAAGTGAAAGCTTATGGGCATATAGTGATGGATCAACATCAATTCTTCTCCGTTTGAAGCCGAGTTCACGATCAATCAGTTGGGATAAAATTGGAATATTTTGCTAAAAGTAAGGAGAAAATGTAAGGTTACCTTCTGGGAGGAAAGCCTATAATTACGTTTTCGTATGTTCATTCTGATTTCGCTGACCTAAAATAAAGGCGCCAAACTCTAAGTTAGATTAACACCTGCATAAACATTTTAAATTATATTAAGTATAAACATTCTAACTAAGTTTCTTTCAAAAAATAAAGATCATCATAATTTTCATAGTTTAGGCCTATAAATATCAGTATCTAAAAGTAAAATTGCAAGAGGACGATTATTGTTTCATTTTTTATATTTAATTAAATAAATTAAAATTATTTTTTTACATTGCATATTTCAAAGAAATTAATTAGTTATCTTACCTTCTGATCCGCAATTTCAATTTAGTGTGCTTAACGTGGGTGCTCAACGTGGGTGCTTGTTTTTTCTATCTTAAGTATTTTTTTATTTATTGTTCAATTTTATTACTCCTTATTTTCTCCGTTTTTTTAAATTATTCAGTTACCTAGAATGCTGAAGAACCTTCGCCGACGAGTTTTTGAGGATATTACTTTTAACACAGCGGTTGCGAAAAATAACTGTCTTATAACATTTTGCTCACAAGATTGCTTCTCGATTTTCAATGCGTGTACACTCAAGCGGAGTACCTATTGTTTCGAAACCTCTTCTCGCTGTAATAGCGTAGATTTCGCTGAGAATGATGGGCAGATATTTTTGTCCGGTGATTTTGATGGGACAATGAGACTTTGGGATATTAGAAATCCCCGAAGACCTGTAAGGTGCATTTCATTTATTCGTTTGGGTTTTGATTATTTGATTTCATTCTTATCTGAATCTTTAGTCATGTGTTTCGGAGGCTGGTCGGAACTTTTTACCTAAAGGTGGTTCATTCAATACTTCCGCTATAAGTTCCGATGGTCGCTACATCTGTGCTGGCACTTGCGCAATTAAAGGCAAACGCAAAAGTAATTGCACGAATCTAGGGCCAGGATCTAAACGTCGCCGTCTTAACCAATCGGTTGAACCAGAAAATTTGGAAGATATTTCTGATTGTGAGTTTTCCCCTTCTGCCTACATTTTGTGTTGGGATACACGGCAAATGGTACAACCACTGTTGGTCCTCGATGATATTCATTCCGACGATGTTAACCATATTGTCTTTGAAAATGATACGTCCAGGTTCCTTAGTGCTGGTAATGATTGTCTAGTCTGCTTAACGGATGTCAGAGCATCTCCAGACGATCGACTTATCGATGTGAGTTATTCCTCTACTTACACCATTTTAAGTAGTTGATGTATATGTTTGCTTTTTCTTTATTTCTATTCACTCTGTTTACGGTCATTTTTAGCAATGAATTGAAATTCCAAAGATTTAACGTCAGATTAATCAATCAATATTTAACTGTTTTTCAGTTCTTTCTTATTCTTTATTAATTTGTAATGTGATAATCAACCGTTACGCGTCTGGTATTTACAAATTTGATTATGCCTAAGCTAAGCTTGCTTTAAATTGTCGTTATTTGCATATTTCCTGCCTATATTCGAGAAGGATTGCGTGTAGACTTCATCTTTGGTGAATTCTGATGATCTCTGCTATTGGTGGAACCATTAGTGTACTGTTTCTTATAGTCGGTTGTATTCACCGTTGCTGGATTTCCAATGAAAAGTCTAACTATTCGGATTTTGGCTTTTTAAGTGGATCTTTAGTTACCAATTCAAAGTATTTGCGAAACATTAGGCTTTATAATAATTATCATAAAATGTAAGAAGCAGACTTAACGATAAGGGAAAAGTTGATGTGTGAACCGGGCTTTTACCGTAAGAGTATACGCTACCCAGGATACACCACGTGGAGGTTGGTCTATCGCACATCGCTTGATTTGATAATAAGAGCTCGGAAATTGTGCCATGTTCGAAAACATACGTCGAATCCTACACTTTTTTTTCTCGCCGACCTCGCAATTGGTATTTGTTATGATATAATGCCTTTAAAATTCGACTCACTCATTCAACCATATACGAAAAAGATATTGTTGCCACCCTGGGTTTTTCACTGGATTCGAGCTTTTTCGTGTAGGCGTTCTCCCAGACACTTATGCTTTATTTAAGGCTCATTTTACGTTATATCAATATCACCTGTAAATAAGGGTTTGAGAATTGTAGTGTTTTTGCTTCCCTAGTAATCTTACTCCTATTTCACATTTATTCTACTTATATAGCGTTTTAAAGTGCAGTTAAATATTTTATTATGATATTAGCTGAGACCGTAGAATTCCTCTTTGTCTTCTAACCTCTATGAACTACATTATTATTTGATAATTTTCGCTTCTTTCGTAACGTACGTTGACGAAGTAATGCGACCAGTTTTAAAATGTTAGGACCAATATCTTCAACCACAACCAAGGCTGTTCTAACCTGTCGAAGATTTCAGCAAGACGAGAGATGCAGTGTGTATTGTTTGTTTGTTCCCATTTCTAGTTTGCCGTTCTTATTATGAATTTGTTACGGTTACTCGGTTCCGTGGGGACATAAAGGCGATTTATTTGTTTATTTTCCCGACTAGGCCAGATATATTAGTGTAATTAAGAATTTATACACACACTTATGATTGTTTATTCAGATTTCCAGTTGAGGCCAATTGTGAGCCAAGCATTGGACTTCTATCTCGGTTAAGACAGAATATGTCTGTCAATTGATCGAATGATTACAGTTGATTTTATAGCTCTTTGCATTATTTCACTTCTGGAGCACATCAAATCATTGTTTGGCCTCCTTTTTGTCTGTGTGGACGAGCACCTCATCTTCAGATAGTTACATTATCTCGTGTTCTCTTCTACTTCTGGATAGGATAGCTGGGGCAAATACGGTCGGTGGGAATAGGGGGTTTAGGGGTTAAGGTTTATCTCCCACAAAACATGAGTATTTGCTATCAAAACGCTATTGGCAAGCACCATTCGTATCATTTTAAAAAGTAAATGTCGACAGCTGAGATAAGCTATTAGATTATCTCTGAAAATTAAATTTTGCTCTGATAATGAAAAATATCCCTTCTTTCATGGATAATTTTTCTGCGGTGTGGACTTTTATTCCTCAGTGGACTCTAATGTTTTTTGTTTGGTTTAAAGACATTCAATACAGAGGGCCCAGTTAATTTCTGCGATTTTCTTGGTTCGAGCGATGGAGTCTACGCTTTCAACAATATGCACTCTAGATTCTGCGCCTGGTCTCTAGACTCCGAAGCTGACTTTTCGGAATGGAAGACGCTGAAGCAGCCTGCAGCCACACGTTTCCTACTCTCCGCGTTTCGATTACCTACGCCTGAACTTTCGGCTTGCCTTCTTAGTACATCAGCGGTTAAACAGGATCTGCGATTGTCCGTAGTGAAACTTGGAGATGCTCAAATTGTTGGCAAGACGAGGTTGTTCAAAAAGGAATCCAAGCTGGATTCAGATGCGTTTTATGCTCGCGTTGTAACGCCTATGCAATCAATCGATGATTCATTTGATATTTTAGTGGTCACTAAGCATTCTGTTCAACGACTGCAAGCAAGATTATCGTAGTTGTTCGCAAGAAATGTGTACTATGTATATATGCCTCTAGAAGTATTCTTTGTGTACATTTACATATTTTACCTTTTTGAATGCAAAAGCATTAAATTTTTTGAAGAAAAATACTTATCAATCACCAGGAATATACATTCAGATCTTCTCTCAATCAATTGTCCTTAAAATAGCGACCTTGTGTAAATAATGAGTGGTTTGTTAGAGAATATGGTTCAACAGACAATGTATATAAATTGAATTAACTAGTAATCTGATACGTTAGCGCATTAAAGTTAGTGTTAATTTATTCTTCTAAGTGATTAGCAAAAATCAAAGGTCATTGATCTTTAGAATTCGATATTCTCGCCTGAGGGGCTCCTAATTGTTTGAGGTCTCCCAGTAATGTACTACGTGGCTATTAAGGACACAATTTTGGGATAGAAGATGGATACCTCCGTGCTTTCATATCTTACTTGTTTAGTTCTTTCTAAGTTTTGGACTAATTCATTGCCGGGGTCCACGCTTTTTTTCAAGAGTTAACAAAGTGGGGGGGGGGGGTTTATGGTACTTGAATTCCACCCAAATGGTCCACGACCCTAATTCTACGGTTGTTGCAAGGAAGAGATTAATGAGGCAGAGAATAAGAGTGTCTGTTGCAATTGGGCAGAAGTGTCATGGTTAAAACAGAGAAGCAAATCAAAAATTATGAGAGGTTGGGCAGTTGGGATCAATCGATAATTATAAGGAGGCCATTGCACACCTAATTCCTCTTCATAAGGTGAGTGAAACTGTGTGCCAACTTCGCGCAAAGCACGTGACTACATTTAAATCAACTGTCAAGTATTCTGTCTTGCAATCGGGCTATTATTCTATAGAAAAAGTGTATTTGAGAAAGCCAGTATTATTTGCTCATTAAAGAATATTAAACAACAAACTCGATAATGCGCACATAATTAATGCTCTATCTTGTAGAAATTTGGTTTCCCTCATATCTGGTGCATTACGACAGTTCGGGTGGAATAAATGAACTACAAAGTGATTCTTGTGTCTGTTATTAAGTTTCGTAAAGCCTTAGTTTCCAGAATGATCGTGATTTATTTATATCAAATGGCAGACGTTTAGATGGTTATCACTAGTCCTTTAGTTGACTTTAAGCTTCATATAGGGGAAGTTATATCAATGGGAGAAAAAGTCGAGAGGGAGAAGGAACAGAAGTGCTTCAAAGACAAAGGCAGAAAAAAGGTGAGGTGAGTACTGTGAAGTGGTGGAATATGACAAACAGTGGGGTGATGGTTGTTTGAAGTGAGAAGCCAACTGCCGTTAATAGACATTTTTTGCCATGAGTATACTTTGCCCAGGGAGCACCACGTTGAGGTAAGTCTATCGCACACCCCACGTGCTTACATTGGCATCGGGTCAGTAGTGCTTTCTACTGTGACTTAGCAGACCGAAATGCTTGTAGTTACCTAAATGGCAAGGCAATGGTCAAGCAGTACTCAAATGCTTCGAGGGCCCAGTAGATATCAGAACTGGATCGTTGCTTCCTCTCATTCCTGTACGCGATAATTGCGCCTAGTCTACCTTACAACGATTCAAAATTTTTTTTAGATCTTTACGAAGCTTGCTTTGTCGAAGCCATTCCCAAGATGCATCCAATTTTTCGTCCCACCTTTTCTACATACTGTTAGTGATTGTCCTCAAATGCATTTTTTTCAATTCCAACAGTTTGGAAAGCCCACAGACACTAATCATCCCCGGACTCTAATTTTGACAAAACGGGGTGTGCGATAGACTAACCTCCACGTGGTACACCCTGGGCAACGTATACTCATGCGGCAAAAACTCTATCAATCGGTAGTTGACTTCTGACTTCAAACTGCAATCACCCCACTGTATGCCATATTCGAATTCTTCCACTGTACTCAACTCACCTTTTTTCTACCTTTGTGTCTGTCTCCTTACATCTTTCAAACACTCTTCTGTCCCCCCCCCCCTACCTCTCAACATTTTTTACTTTGATGTTCCTTATCATCTGTGAAGCCTGAAGTCAACTAAAGGGCTAATGATAGCTATCAAAACGCCTGCCATTTGAGATAAATAAATTTTGACAAAACTGATTTTGTGATACTAGAGCTACCCGCGCAAGGAAGCCTTCTGACGTCACCTGATTGAAACTACGCGCGCCTGCACATGCAAACCCAGAGGGTGATTCACAGTGCGGGAAGCTTGACTGCGTTGAGGCATGACATGCACGCTTAACAATCGATAAGCATGACTACTTTCCCCGCCTTTGTTGCACATGCTTAGTCAAAAGTCTTCAGAGAGAGAGAGGCACGTAACTCTGCGACGGTAGAAAATTTACTAATGGTTTTTCAAGTGCTTCTACTTCCACTTAAACCTCAGAACAAAGAAGTGAGAAGACCCGTGGCTCAATCGACGAATCTTTTTATTCCGAAAATAAATTTCCCCATTTGAAATCAGAGGCTTTGAAAAATTATTGGCCACCAAGTTACCTTTAGTAGGGGGCTTGTAAATCCAGGTGTGAGTACAAAAATTCAACATTAGATAATCGATGGAACAGTATTTAAGACTTCGAGTCGAGTACACCGATTCAGTTTCCAAGACAAGAAGAAATTAGTTGATTATCATGGACACGAACTCTTACCCAGGAATCTGACCGTTCTACTTCGAAAAATGCCACAATGGACGCCCCACCCATATGGTTTACCATGAGTAACAAAAATACCCGTTCCACTAGGCCAATTAGCAAATAAAATAATTGCCCAAGGGGTGTGCGAGACTTACCTCCACGTGGTGCACCCTGGGCAACGTATACTCATACGACAAAAGTCTATTAACTGACATTTGACTTCTGACTTCAAACTACCACGACCCCCCTGGTTGTCATATTCGACCCCTTACACAGTACTCACCTTACCTTTTTTTCTACCTTTGTGTCTGTCTGCCTCTTTTACATCTGCGAATCGCTCTTCTGATCCCCACCCCTCGATTTTCTGCTACTTTGATGAACCTTCCCTCTATCAAAACGCCTGCCATTTGAAATAAATAAATAAATAAATATGATTGCACAATGCAATCATAGAACCTAAAATGGAAAAATTTGACATCTTCATCAAGGAAAGCAAAAAAATCCTACCGAGAATTATAGTTGAGATATTAACTATACACCTAATCGCAGGAAAGCACAACATTGGATCAGAAGCTGATGCAGTCGACACACCACATAGTTAAACATTGGGAAAAAGTCGTATTTCCCAAGCATACCTATAAAGGCATTCTAAAAGTATATCTTAGGCTAGAGGTTGCACCATTGAGCCTTCCAGGTGGGAAAAGCGAATTCTGCAAACTCCTATGATCTGGTTGGCTGCTCTATATATTGGGTTGGCAACTAAGCCATTGCCGTTTTTGTTGACAGATTCACTCTATACTTTCTTTTGTTTTGTTAACGTGGCCAGAGCATCTAACCTATATTTTTTTTCTTACTGTATGGGCTTCTAGGTTAATTAGTAAAAAATTTTTCTTGTTTAGTTCTTTAGTTTTGTTTTTATCCCAATTTAAAAATGAAAGAACAGGACGTGCACTTCCGACACATTTTATTGTATTACTTCCGAAAAGGCAAGAACGCATCGCAAGCACAAAAGAAGTTATGTGCCGTATATGGAGATGAAGCATTAAAAGAAAGGCAGTGTCGAAATTGGTTTGAAAGATTTCGTTCCGGTGATTTTTCACTCAAAAATTCACAACGATCTGGCCGCCCAGTCGAAGTGGATGAAACCCATATCAAGGCCATTATCGATTCAAATCGTCACAGCACAACACGAGATATTGCAGAGAAGCTCAATGTGTCGAATACATGCATTGAAACAAAATGAAAAACCCTTGGTTATGTCAAGAAACTTGATTTATGGATCCCTCACCAGTTAAAGGAAATTCATTTGACGCAACGGATTAGCATCTGTGATTCGCCACTACTGAAACGCAATGAGAATGACCCATTTCTGAGGAACCTAGTTACTGGCGACGAAAAGTGGATAGTTTATAACAATGTTACTCGCAAGAGATCATGGGGGAAGCATGATCAACCAGCCCAAACAGTATCAAAAGCAGAGATTCACCCCCCAAAAAAGATTATGCTGTCAGTCTGGTGGGATCAGAAAGGAATTTTGTATTTTGAACTCATGCCGCCGAACCAAACGATAAATTCAAATGTGTATGTTGAACAACTCGAAAACTGAAGGATGCAATTGAAGATAAGCGGCCGGCATTATCAAATCGGAAGGGTGTTGTTTTCCATCATGATAACGCAAGGCCCCACACATCTTGGAACTGGGTTGGGATGTTTTGTCACACCCATCATATAGCCCTGACCTTGTGCCTTCGGATTACCATTTGTTTCGTTGCATCCAAAACTCTTTAAATGGTCAAATTTTTAACAACGCGGATGATGTGGGATCACACCTAATTCAGTTTTTTAATAGCAAAGACCAGGCATTTTACGAACGGGGAATTTTTACTTTGCCAGAACGATGGAAAAAGGTCATCGACAAGAACGGCCAATATCTAATTGAATAAAGTTATATTTTTAAACAAAAATTCCTAATTCGCCTTCTTATTTGAAATCGGCAATGACTTAGTTGCCAACCTAATACATCGAATGCACACCGATTGTTATTGGAAATTACGATCTGTTATTTTCCTATCGACCAGCGCACCTCGATTTAGCACCATATGTATCTAATATCAACAGTACAAGGTACTCAAACACTTTAACTGCACCAAATAACCCCTCCCCCCAAAAAAGTGAAAAAGTCGAGTGGATTGATCTTTACTAGTCTTTTGTGCACAAATGTGATTGTGATAAAAGAAGGTAGGCGAATATTTAATGATTGAAAGAGAGAGAGAGAGAGATAGGAACGAATGATTATGAACGTTTGAATGTTGGCAAAGGAATAGTCTTTTATCGAACCACCTGCTGGTTCTGATCTTCGTCATCCTGTTGGCCATGCATGATCATTTTCGTAAACTCACGGTAGTCAAAATCGCCATTTTTGATGGGTGCTCCATGGAAGAGTTCATCCACCTTCTCGTCTGTCCAGCGGTCACCCATGGAGGTCATTAATTCACGCAGGCGCTCCTCACTAATTGCTCCTAAAATGAAACAATTAGATACATTAATCATTTTACTGAAGGGAATTTGTGCATTTTTGTGCGGCTTCTCATTCAGATTGTCTCATTCAGAGATTCAAACACAAATATTCAAGCATCTATCGAATAAAAGTCTTCCAAAGTTTGCACTGGAATTCATAATTTGCAAACGTAATACGAATTCGAGACATTTAATGAATGAGGAGAACACCAAGACAACTTCCTATCATTCATTCAGATAGCAAAGATTTTAAAGAGAGTTCACTCATTACTGGGTAGAACGCATTAGATTTAGGAAATTCGAGAAAAAATGATGATACAAATGAGACTCAATACTAAAGATGAGTATAATCTCAAAGGTGAAGATAGGGGAAGAGTTGATGTTAAGCTTGGCAAATCTAGCCCAACGAACCCACATGATTTAGTGGGACAACTTTGCATACACTGACCATATCAAAACCACAAAATCTTGAACCAAAAGTCAACATTTTAGGAGGTATAGGCATTTGAAAAATAAACAGCAAACCAAAAGAGAGGCAGATCAAAGTCCGTTGCTAAAGAAAATACAAGTCAAATTCCAATAAGGGTTCAATAGAGTAAAAAAGAGATTACGCAAAATTGTTATACCAAGCAACCAACTAAATTAAAATTCCAAACGGTTTAACGGTTTCACATTTACCGTTGCTATAATCTGACGTTTAGCCAATGTGGAGATGGAAAAATGACAAGTTGAGTAAAAGCAGTGAGAGAAAAAAGGCCATGATTGGTTGGAAATAAGACGTACGTGTGACTAATGACAGAAATAGCTCAGCCAAAGCACATGACCTTCATTCAACGTGTAAGCTTAACCCTAATAATAAAATGAATACGCTTCAATCTCCTATTAGCAGAACAATAATCTAACGTGAGGTACACAGATCTAAATTTCACAGCAAAGCAGAAAATAATGTATAGAGAGATAGAAACGCAACAGATTAAGGTTCACAAACAAAGAAACATAGCTAAAACACAGTTTAAGTACAACATAAAAGACAAATTGAGAGATCAGGGGCAATGACTAGTGATGAGCAAGTGAAAGACTACTCAACAAAATACTCAGCTCTGCATGAATAAAGGCAACGCGTAGGCAGTTAGGGTAAAATGCAAATTGAGTAGGAGCGGAGAGAGATGAAAAAGGCTCTTGCACATGTGTCAAGATTTGCATTACTAAGAAACAAGCATTTGTAAAAGGAATTACTCAGTTTAAAAGCAATGGATGAAAAACTAAGCAGGTACCTCTAGAATCAGTCAAATTCCCGGAGAACAAGTTTAAAACGTCTTGAAGCAAAGTAATACAGAAATTGAAATCAGATCACTTTTCCTACCTGTGAATCAGAAGCAAATGAAATGTAGTGAAAATCTGACCTAAGCCCGGTCAATTTTCAGGATGGAATGAGAAAATTTCATTTAGTTAAAAGCAAAAAATCAATAGAATCTAAGTTGAGCTAAGCACTACAGACTTTTACGTTGTGGCAAGAAGATGGAAAAATGATAAAGGGTCAAAGTCTGCCTCCAGAATAAGCAAGTGATAGCAAACAGCCTAAAGGAGCCGAAGCCTACTAACTTCAATTGCCACAATAAATAAAAACTTGATTATTCACCTCACTGAACCTCCGACGATGAAGAAAAAAACCCACGATTCCCAGTTTTGCACACGAGCGGTGATCACTACAACACTCATTATTGCAATATAAATAGCTCTAAGATGATTGAAATAAAAAACTCAGGGAAGAAAAAAGATACATAGAGCGTTTCCAACTCAAGTTGCAAGTCTACTGGTTGAACTCGACTCAAACACCAAATATACTTTATCTTAAGGGGTAGTTTTTGAAAAAAGTGTTAAAGAAATAATAAATGAATTCAAAAGCACTAACAGTTTGAGTAAGAAAATGCTAAGGAAAGACTATGTGCTAAACCTAGATCTCAGCCACAAATAGTCCTGAAAAATGTAAATTTTTAAGGTGAATAAGTCAGGATAAATAAAAGATATGCACATTAAATAAAAAGAATAAACATGGCAAAGTGCGTATGACACAATAATATAAAGACTGAACCAAAGCCCAGAAGCATACTTTAGCTAACCTGTATTATTTGGATCGAATTGAGCGAAGGCATTAAGAATAGTGTCTTCGGGATCACAACCCATCATTTTCTCACCGAAAAGAGTAAGGAACATGGTAAAGTTAATGCAGCCAGGGGCTTGTTTGAGCATTTCATCAAGATACTCCTCCGTCGGCTGTTTGCCCATAGAACGGAAGACTTCCTCAAGATCACCCTGATCAATGATGCCGTCTTTCGATCCATCAATCAAAGAAAAAGCTTCCTAAAGTTAAAATTTGTGAAACAATTATTAAAGCTGCACTAGGTCAAAGATTACATATTATTATAACTTATGAATTATTTTTATAAATAATACTACATACCTTAAACTCATTAATTTGAGCTTCTGTGAACATTGAAAACACATTACTGGTATACCTTTGAGTTCTGGGACGAACACGCTTCTTGGTTTTAGAGCTCGACATTTTGCAATTTAAAACGTAAAAATGTCAAAACAAGACGTACTACCACAGCTAAAACTTCTATTTGAGTTGGGCGGGTTTAGGTCGGTCTTTAAAATGGCATTTTATAAAACTATAATATCTTATAATTAATCATGAATCATCTATTAAAATACTTTAATTATTTATCTTAGTGAAAGTGAATCAACTGATAGAGAAAAATCTATCATCTATTACACCTTCAAGTGTATGATTCACATAGATCCTCATTAATTGTTTCAATTAAATTCATTTGCTTTCTGAAGTCATTATGTAAAGATTTTATTCGCTTTCAACAATATTCAATATGCATCTTATGTCTCCAATTTCGTAACAAAAAGGTAGTTTAATCGCCTTATATTGACTTGACCAGATATTATAAAAATTACGCTTAAACTCGAATCCTTTCTTGGCAAAATTTATCGAGAACTTGTCAAGTGGCTGTTAGAGCCTTACATGTATTTAATTTCCGAAATCAAGAAGATCGTAGAGCTAAATCAGTAATGTTCAGATGAATTTAATTTTTTCCCATTTTTTCTGGATATTCATTTAATAGTAAATGGCATTTGATATAAATAAATTTTAGATTATAACAGACATGTCATATGATCATTAGATTTGTGTCACGGATAACCAATGATTCGAATATGCTTTTTGTCATGATTTCCCAATTTCACATTTCGTGATTGTTGAACAAATTATACGTTGGAAAAAAGGTTTTGTTGATGCTGAGACAAAAGTTCATATGCCATAGACGGTAGAGGTTTATTATCATCTGTTCTTCTAAATGATAAGATCTCGACAGCAGTTTCTTCGTGTGTTCAACTGTGCATGTGTGCCTTCTTGCACAGATTCCAGTCGATGATCAAGAACGCTGAACCAAGACGAAGAATCTTTCTTGACTTCAGAAGCCTCAACACAGTTCAAATGGTGTGAATGACTTGACTAATTCCATATCTGAGACTCTAATTTATCTTCAATTCTCTTTTTTGCTTTTGGTCCTTTTTTGTTTAATCTTTTCTATTAACGTTCTCTTAGCTTGACTATTTGCCTTTTCCACTTACAGGATTCGTGCAGTTAAAACCCACCTTAATTTCGATAATCCCACCTATCCTACTACATCAAGTGAATTTTGACTAAAAGATGCTTTAAGTTCTATTTTATTAAATATTATGCATCACCATAGCTAATAACCATTAATTAGCTCGGATGAATTGCTCGTGGCCGTAGAAGTTGTAGCGGATTGCTACGCTAGTAAAGCCTGATTGACTCAGAAATCTCTATGGCAGATTCTCCTACATCTAGCTAGACTCCCAGAACCAGATAAGCTATATCCCAGCTATGAAAGGAAACAGACGTGTAACACGGAGCACGTTTATTCAGTAGGTATATTGCGGATAAAGTGTGCACGCAGGGAGCTTAGTCATGATCAGGATGGCGGATTAGGTTAAACAGAGGTTAATGATTGGTTACTGTTTGTACGGTCGCACCTCCCAATCCTGGCGTGCAGGCATGCGATGACGTGTCCCACGAAGTAAATGAATAAATGGAAAACAATTACCAAACAAGAAATTAAGTAAATTGGTTAATAGACTGAATACTTTGGACAGCGTCTTAGTCATGAAACCGGGGAAAAATTTATTAAATTCGAACGGCTAGCACCTCCATTGAAACCAGCGTGCCCAATGAGAACATGAGCACCCCTATGCCCACGAAATGCAATTAACACTTCCTAATGCTATATTTCGACCCTTCGATTAAATTATCGATTAAAGAAGCCATTTTTTGTCACCCTTCTCCATAAGGCGTACCAAAATCAAAGCTTGTCACTACCTTCGCATTACGCTGAGGAATAACGAAGGCCCAAAGTAGGTCTTTGAATTGAGGTCATAAACAAACCTCTCTCACTCTAAAATTATAGTCAAGCTCAATATTTTCCACATTTACTTGTTTCATGTTAAAGATTTGACGTTTCCCTCGGTGATTCTACTGAACACCTTTTGCTCACATCTAATTGATGGTCACTACTTTTCTCTAACCAAATAGGCCTTACGATGTCAGAAAGGGTTGCAAATAACAAAATATGTAAGAGGATTTCAAATTAATTAGCAAGTTTTAATGAGTTCCATTGTTTGCTATCTGTAAACAAAAGAACATTGACCAGTTGCATAGACCCGTACGGCTAATATAGTCATCGAGTGCCAAGCAACATCTGGAGTTCAGAAAGGTTGGAAGTACTAGAAAGTAGTGTCAAGTGCGAAGGTTTACTAGTTTAATTCACTTCAATAAATGATTTATGTCACTAAAAATCATCTGTTAATAACGCTAAAACTCTTTACCACTAAGTATAAGGTTATGGAAGTCAGATGGCAATATTTGTCGCCTTAGTGAGGGTATTGCAGTTAAGACAACGATTTTCTCAACTTATTGATTAGCACGGCTTTGCTAAGACTGTACAAACCTTCTTTCTAATTCTCCTTGGTACAGAATGTAACGAATAAGGCTTTAAGACGAGACAACCAGAAATAAATTCCATTGTAGAACAAGGGCACGTTCAAGGGTCACGTCATCGCATGCCTGCACGCCAGGATTGGGAGGTGCGACCGAACAAACAGTGACCAATCATTAACCTCTGCTTGTTTAAGCTAATCCGCCATCCTGATCATGGTCAAGCTCCGTGCGTGTACACTTTATCCGCAATATACCTACTGAATAAACGTGCTCCGTGTTACACGTCTGTTTCCTTTCATAGCTGGGATATAGCTTATCTGGTTCTGGGAGTCTAGCTAGATGTAGGAAATCTTGCCATCGAGATTTCTGAGTCAGTCAGGCTTTACTAAGGTGTTTAGCTGGTTCTGGGAGTCTAGCTAGATGTAGGAGGATCTCCCATTGAGATTTCTGAGTCAGTCAGGCTTTACTAGCGTAGCCAGAGATTTCTGAGTTAGTCAGGCTTTACTAGAGTAGCAATATTTCTGAGTCAGTCAGGCTTTACTAGCGTAGCAATCCGTGGAGCTATAGCTTAGCTGTTCTGGGAGTCTAGCTAGGTGTTGGAGAATCTGCCATAGAGATTTCGGTCAGGCTTTACTAGCGTAGCAATCCGCTACAATGCAATCCGGTCAGGCTTTACTAAGGTAGCAATCCGTTACAATTCTCAACCGGTCTGGCTTTACTAAGGTAGCAATCCGCTACAAGTCTTTAACCAATCAGGCTTTACTAGCGTAGCAATCCGCTACAAATGAAACTTGGATGTGCTTTTTCTACAACAAATCTTCTGAGCCAATTATCGGACGATTTTTCCCTTTTAGAGCATGGTTGCTAAGATTAGTCTTCTCGCAATAATTTTGAGAACTTAAAGTCGTCAATACTATTAGGGAAGGTCGCAATAGATGATAGATTCCACGTAGATCTTAATAGACTTCAGCATTTCCATAGTCATTTACACAAATTTACGTTCCTAGGTATGTAAAGTACTGATAAGGAATCCGTGTCTCCACGACCGCAAAAAAGAGTAAATTCAGTGTTAATAAATAATAAAACAATTCAATCAAGAAGTTACATGGATTTAAGCAACAATTGTGGCCTTGTATTCTCGATTCTGGCTTCAACTTCAAGTGTTTGTTTAATCAAGCGAATCTGAATAAATCAACTGATATGCTCTTCCAATTTCAACCTCTAGCAGGTTACGGACGTTATGATTCAATTATCGTTAAGTTTTTTTGGTATTTCAATCAAATCTATGCGGTGTCTCTAATCTGTATTCTCCATTTGCTAATCACAGTTCATTTGGTTAACTTGAACTATAATTATGTGGATTCATGAAAATTAACGTGACAATCCCTCTCAAAATTCACTCAATTTATGCCCAATCCAGTTCTCCAATACTGTCATTACTGTCGTGAATTTTTCGTATCCAGGGAGAAATACAAACAGCATCGAAGGGAAAATCGTTTCCTCTGCCGCTTCTTGAAAGTTAGACACAATGAACGGGGCGAAATTATACGACATGAGTTTGAGTTTCCAGAATGTGCAATTTGTGGAGAGGTGTATTGCAGTTATAATGACTTACAGGAACATTTGGAGACATTCTGCCATATTTGTGACCGAGAATTTAAGACCGCGAATATGACAAGGTTTCATTGGTTGGTTAATCACTGATGGTTATATTCTTTAAAATAAATTTCCTAACGGTTCAAAATTTATTCTCTCATAATAAGATTTTAAGTATTATCAGTTTAATGAACCCCGAAGGTGCAATTTTTGCATTTGATATTAAGCGGGAAAGGGTGGTTTACTCTGTTGGGGTATTCACTTTCTTCTGTTATATTGACATCTCTGGCTGTCTGTTAGTGAAATTCAGCCCGACTATGTCTAAAGGAGTGACAACACAGGTGGTGTCGTGTGTAGAGAGTTCACTACACAATTGCTTAACATTCTCTCTGCAAGAATATTGTTTGTTGATTGGCTGAAAGCATCTGCATACACATTTTTGCTTGCCCACATACACTTTCGATAGAACATTGATAAGTTTCAAAATGATTTCGCTCACTAGAGATTCCTTTGATCAACCTCCACTGTTCTCTTCCCCCCCCCCCACCCCTGGAAGCTTTGTGAAGTAGCTTGGAGTGAAGACTAGACTGAGAGACTGATTGGGTTTACAGTGCTTTTGGAAGGGTACTGTGTTGAATATTGGAAAGGTGTATGTATACAACCGGAGGAAGGTTAAGATGTACTGGTTGAAAGTTATTCTGATGTCTAAGAAGGCCAGATTCAACCCCCTCCCCCTCCTCCCGATCCTCACTGAGTCCATAGTAGCGTTACAAGTGAGGATGAACTAGTTGAGATTGAGTTCCAGGACTTTGGAAGGACCTTTGTAAAGTTTCCAGAACCTCGTCTAATCGAAGAGAGTGGTGCTATATTCTGAAATTCCTCTTTAACAACTACTCTTTGTCAAAATAAAGACAATGTGTATTGACGAATATGGATTA